TAGATGATTACAACGTGAGGGAGTTGATGCTGAGGCAACAGAGTATTCTCAATGAACACTTTGGTGAGCTCATTTTACGTAACGTTCCTAGGCGAGGAGTGTAACTTCCATTTCTTGAAGCATCGACAAACAATATCTCATTCGAGTAACTCTCTAGCTATCTAAACCCAGAAAACCAAAGAAAGGGATTTTTTCATTAGAGGGGAAGATTTGAACGTACAAACTGCTCTTAATTAGAACACAGGCCATTTTAACATCCATTTCCCCTCTATTTTTCGATCTTCGTCTATCCTTTAATCAAGAAGAGCATTAAAATTCATTCCTCTCTCGTATGAAAGACTAACATCCCATTCACTAAAATACCGAACGAAGGCAAAATCTTCCTTGTTTATATCTCCATAACGATTAAACGAATATCTCCCAAAAAATTCACGTTTGATAAAAAAACATGTACAAACGAATCCAGAAAATTTCACACGAATAGCTTGAATCATTTCTACTCCATAAAATTCCAAAGACACCCTATACGCGTCTCTCCGGGCGCTCTAAGAACAGCGGGAGGAAGAATTCATCGACTCCTCCCGTTCTTCTCGTGGCGAGAGTTTCGTGGCGGCACGCCGGTCGACAGGGAAATTTCCACTTCCGCGAAAATTACGCGAAGGCAGCGACCAGTGACACTCTGACACGGCCGTGTCGCGTGTACACGGGGGCCACGCAAGCCGGGCGATGTGCCGACTGGCAAGAGCGACCGCACTTTACGAGCTTTGCGGCGAAAATATATGATTCTCCCGTTGGCCTAGCGCGACCGTAAAGTTTCGTCCTCATTGTTTCGAGCGGTGGAACGCGGCACACAGGGACGAGGGGACTGTGCACGGTCTGGTTTAAGAGCGGTAGACCGCTGCACGATTCGAGGCAGACGTAAGATTAACGGCCGGTTTGCTTTGTAGTTTTACAGCCAACCCTCCCACCATCCCGTCCATCGACGTTTCGCCAAAACCGATATCCTCTGCCTTCTCGACGACTCCTTCTTCTTCCAATGGAGATTTACGACGCGAGAAACCGGAAGGCCGGGGAACGTGCGGCGAGTCGCACAGGTGCGGTTAAAGGGGCCAAGTTGGACCGCGAATAGATCTGGGTCTTCCTTTTAGTACGGCTACCTTGGTGAAAATTTTGGGCAAGTTTCAGGGAGGATTGATGTCAGAGAAGTTATATTTAGAGGGTGACACCTCGCTCCAGAAGTAGAGAAAGGTTCGATTTTGTGTATTCGGATAAATTCAAGTTTGGTGAATTTCTGGTTTGTTAGTAATGTAATTATTACATGTGCTAACTGGAGGGTTAGTCTGTAGATTTACATCAATTTTGGGGAGAACGTTCTTCGGATAATTCCATTTTACAAAGATTCCAAAATTTATACCTTACTCTCCCAGTTCACCTGATAAATGTGGCCCTTTAATTTCAGTAGAATTCCCCCGGAAGGGCTTCGATATTCTCCTCGTGGAAAAGTTTCCACCTTCGCCATGTCCACGATAAGACGTTCCCCGTTTCCTCGGTAAACCTTCATTTGCCACCGAAGGGAAGATCGCGAAATATACGCGCGACGGGAGCGAAAGGGAAAATCGGGATAACACTTTGGAAGAAATAAAAGTGTCGTTTGCCTGTGGAAAAAAGCCTGGTCGTGACAGAGAGGGGAAAAGGGAAAGTGGAGTGCCTACGAAAGATAGCGTAACGCCGAGAGATTTAGCACGTAGTAATTCGCCTTAATGCCGGCGTACATACGCGTCCTCTTTGCTAGCTCCATTCGAAAGCGATATATGTATTCCGCGGGTTTGCTTATCAGAGAGGCTCCCCCCGGGGGGAGCCACTCTTCAACGGTCACACTGTCGACGTTAAGTGCGAAGGAAAAATTCGCGAAATGTTTTTTCTATAAATTTTGCGGGTCTCCTGTTTAATTTCTCATCGCAAAAGTAACAACAGAGGATGGTAACTGTGACGGAAAAGATCGTTGGGCGAAGTAGCCCGCCGCTTCGAGCACCCATTTTCCCTAGCCTCTCCTCGATACTTAATTGATCGGTAAACCAATTAAGCTGCCGTGGTGTTTCGTAGTGAGTTTGCCGTGTAACAGATTCATCGGATAAATCCACTCTGGATTCACGTTAATGGGTCGACGATGAAATATGCAATTCGAGGATGGAAACGGGAATTCCAAGTCCACGATGGAGGAGAGTTCTTCCCACAGATTACTCTCGGAATATCACCATAAAGGTTTCACAAATTTCTCCCCGGTGACTTTCTACGCCTCACATTCGTCAATCCCCCTTTCAATTAACCCGCTTAATAAGCCTCGGGCTCGACACGATACAATTCGTCTAGCCGACAGTTTTAACCAGTCCAAAGAGAAATAGCTCGAGGCTGGGCTAGAGACAGAAAGGAAACACTCTCGGTTTACGGGCCTCCGTACGCGGTTTGTAATATTATAAAGCTAGAAGACGGGGATGAGAGAAGCCCCGAGGGGTCGAGGAAAAAAAAGAGTGGCGAACGAACGAGTCGTCTACGGGATTTTTCCCGCGAGCTACGCGAAACCACCGCGAAAAAGTAGAATCAGACCGCGCCTGGTCAGACGCGAACAGACCCGCAGACTACTAGATGCCCCAGATAAAACAACGGTGGCACGCTCGAGCACGAAATCTGGGAAAATCCTTCCGAGTGCTCTGATTAACACGAGGGGCACGTGTTTAGGGTATTTAATCGAATGTTTTGACGTATTTCCAAATTTCCACGTATTCCTGCAGTAGGGAATAAAGTGCGAAGTGCTAGTTAATTGATAATACCGTATATTTTAGAATGATTTCTCATCTATCCAAAATGCTACACAAAGGAATAGAAAAATTCTTCGGGAAAAATCCGAGGATTTTTTTCTGTGCAAGCGATCAACGAAAAACCAGCCTGCGAAGCCCATAAATTCGTCGCTCTTCAATTCCATCCCCATTTCCCTGGGGCGACACGGAATAAAGAGGTCGACGTGTAACGCTGTCCATGATCCGAAATGCACGACGATTTTCGACCCGTGTACATCATCCGTATTCGCGAGCTCTGCTTTTTGTCAATTAATCTGGAGTTATCAGTGGCCTGGCTGGGATGGGTTCAGCCGAGGTTGAGTTGGTCATTTGTATGACGCCAGAGTGCTGGCCTGTGTATGTATACGGGTGTTATCTACGCTCTGAGCTCGACTTCCCCTACTTCTCTGTTGGACGAAGGGAGGGAAGAACGGAGAGAGAGGGAAGCTGGGTTGCACAAGCTGGGAAAAGGGGATACCGCTGTGTGCGGTGTTTGGCTAGGACATTGTTTATGCGAAACGGTCAGCACAGCGAGTCACCATGTCAGCGGCTCGTTCTGGTTGGCTTCGTTTGATAATTCGATAGCACTTTTGCACCTCGAGGCCGTCTACTCTCTCTCTCTCTCTCTCTCACTCTTCTTTCTTTCAATGTTCACCTGCCACACACGCTGGACCCGAGCCCACCGGGTCCAATTAAATTTATCCGGCTGTGTTTTTTCGAGGGAAAAGCGATCCACACGGCTGTAAAAAGAGACAGCCTCAGCAGGGGAATGCATTTACCCAGGTACTCCTTTCTTTATTTCTCTCTTCTTTTATACTTCTCTCGTACGTTCTCTGTCCTTCCTATCCTGCTCCCTTCTCGCAAATTTTTTGAAAGCTGTCGCCGATTCACCCACTTCGAATAACCCGCGCTGATTGATACGACTCTGTGCACGGAATGATCCAATTTAACCAGATGAAATTCTCTTTTTTACACCGCGAAAATAATAAACGCCCGCGAGTTTTTCCATTCGCGGTCCAATCTTTCCTATTGTTCCCAGCAGAGGAATCCCTTGGAAAAATTCTCCGCTAACGAATCGCCGTGAGAATTTCGAAGGAGATCTGCTCGATAATTTTCTCACGTTATAGTTCCCGCGGAATGGAATTTGATTGCGCTCCCTTTCGTTCCGATACCGGTGCGCTAGCCAAACGATGTTTTATTCCCAACTTTTCGTCGGATCGATCCGTGTCAATCAACGCTGGATATCGCTCTGATGATGATTGATGATGATGGGGAGACCGGGTATACTAACGAGGGTAACGCTCGAATGGACCTTCTGGCCATTTGAGCGAGTCCATTCGGTGAAACTGGGAGAGAGATTGCGGTAACGCGTGTCCAGACATCTATTTGGAAAGGGAATAAGTCGAGGAACGAGGGAGAACGAAGAGAAAAGAAAAGAAAAAATGGATCGACCTTATTTCCCGAGATTAATCCGCGGGAAGTGAAACGTTTAATGAGCAAACAGGATCGACGCGACCCCTCCTTTATTTTCCAGCGGGAAACGTCGAAGGGAATTTTGCAAACCCTGTTTTCTTCTCTCGAGAAAAGCTTCGAGTTTCTTGGAAAAAATTCTCTCGTTCCGCTGCTCGACTTGGATAATGGCGAGAGTATACAGTTCCTTTTTTCTATGTAAAGTGAGAGGTTTGTAGATACCGAGTAATTAAATATCTACTCTCGAAAAATGGAACAATTGTTTCGGCGAAAAATTTGTTAATAATTCTTTCCCCCGGTTACGCTACACACACTGTTCATTACAATTTACGTAACAAAACATCAGAAGGAATTCGTTATTCGTTGTACGATAGAAAATGTGGTAGATTTAATTGAAATGTCCGGCAACGATTAATAAAAGCGGTGATATTAAAAAATTCCGCAGCTTTCGCGTGAATGAAAATCTTTGAAGGGACATCATTTATTTCAATAACCAAGAGGGAGCCGGTTGAAAGTTAAACAACTGTCCGGTCAGACTCATTTCTCTAATTACACCCACATTCCACTTTCCCCCCCCGTAGAATCTCACTCCTGCTCCTTTGGACCGACGCGGTTTCCACCTGGGGAAACTGTTCGAACAACAGCGAGATACTTTCGGGGGAGCACAATTCCGTGAACGATTTGTTTTGCTTGCAGCGCCTGTGCGACTACGTGAAATATCGAAGGAAGGCTCGCAGAGGAGGCCAAACGACGCCAATAATGACTCAGCCGAAGGAGATCTGCCGGTTTTCGAACCGACAGCGGCGAACGTCAGCGCATTCGTCGGACAAACCGTGTACCTGCCGTGTCGTGTGAGAAATTTAGGGGATAAAGTGGTAAGTCGCGTTGGTAATATAAGATAAGCCTAAGATTACACTTACGAACACACGTGACTCAAAAAGAAAAAAAAAAAAAAAGAACAAGGACAGTGGCCAAGCAACGAGGATCGGATAGTTCCTTCTAAAAAGGTAGCAAGAGGCGGCGAAGGAAAAAAGAATTTAGTCTCATCGCTCGTATTTTATATAACCACGGTGAGTTTTATAGCCGATATGAAAAGTTACATCGTAAAGGTACCGCGTAAAAATACAGCCGAGGCTGAGAGAAACTGTCCCTCGCAAGGCGTTTCGTTAACCAACCATAGTAAAGATTCCCGGCACTTTTCGAAATCCTAAACTACCGTCACTCATTTTTATATCGTCGATCTTAACCACACGGAAGAAATCTTTCGTGTTCTTCGATACTTAACGAAAATAATCCATCGCTGCTCTGATCATTCTAATTCAGCCATACTCAACCTTCCTTCTTCCCGGGCTACATACATATGTTTGCTACGTAACGAGGGCCGTAACTTAGGTTTATACCTTGGTATTATGTCAATTAAATTATCTTTTACTTACGAACTCTAACTGTGCCTGTGTGTGTTTCGGGCCACGCACAAAATCTTGGCGGGCCGCTGGTTGAGTATGGCTGTTCTAATTGATCCCCAGGAATATCTCACCTCACACTTGACGAACTAACTTGGAGGAACTAAAGTTTTTCATAAAAAAAGAGTTAGAAAGCCGCTATTGTCACATTTCACCGGTGACACTAATATCAATTTAAATTCCCATCTCCAACGGTTGTACAGCTATTTACGTCTCTAAGAAACGTTATCTCAGCGCAATAACTTCAACCACCTATCTCACCGGTACACCTCAGACGTATCCAGGAGCCATCCATGATCATAACTATACCTGTACGATCCACTAAAACAGTTGCGAACGTTGGAACAATCGAGTATAGTTGGCTCGTGTTCCCAAGATCGCTTTGAATTATGAAATACGCTAAAGGGAACGGTAAATCAGCTAGGACAAGAGAGAGAGAGAGAGAGAGTTTCGATTAGGAAGACACACGAACCACGCACGTTTACTACACTATGCGACGATTAATTTTCGCAAGTTGCTCGACTACCCGGTTCCCATTCCGTACAGGCCAATTTCTATTCAAACAGGTTGTCCCCGTGTCTGTGACGGCGACGTCGTGGCCCTTTGCGTTATCTGTACAAAGGCGGCCTCCTCCCGGTGTAATTAATACCAGGCCATGACAAATCGTCGTTTCCTCCATAACGACCGGCCTCGATAAATACGGGGCTCGCGATTAGGAGCAGCCAGCACGAAAACGTGACCGTGTAGCAACGGTGCCGTGCTCGTGACAATCGATCAAAATGGGAGACACAAGGGAACAGAGACATTGTCGTGTTTCCTTTACGGTTAATGTCTACGCGATGCGAATCTCTGTGCGATCCTTCTCAGATCTTGCTTTCTTGTCCATGGAAACCTCTGATATCTCAACTCCACCCTTATTTCTTTCTTTGCTCTTCTGTAATTTCAACAAGTTTCACTTTTTCGAATTCCTTATGTTGAGAATCGAATAGCAACGACATTTGGAGGCAGGCAACGGCGAAATAGACGCGGTCTTTTGTTTCAGGGCCTGTGGCTCGCACATCGTCGCTCATATGTAAAGAAAGAGTCGAATAAATATAACACTTTATGTGGGAATTTGTAAATGTGAATTTCGAAGAATTTTCAAGTGTCGAATATTCTTTTCTCTCTTCGTACCATTGGCCACGCCGTTTTCTTCGAGGAAGTGTTATTAGATATAGGAAGAACGTTAGAGGTTAAAGAAAATTTCCATTTAATTCACAATTTATGTGGACCCCGCGCATTTTTCCATTTCATGGGTGGATTGCAGCGCGGGAAGTAGCGAGATGTTGCTGAAAGCGGTAATCAACGATTCCCCGTAGTCAGCAGTTCCCGATAAAATCTTCTTGCCGCGCGTCGAGCCGAAAGCAGGCCAACGGTGAATGTAAAAGTTTTGAAAATCGATCGACGGTAGCAGTTAGAAGAGGTGAAATCGGGGGATTTTTGGGCGTAAGGGAGAACGAGAGAGGATAGCAAGGGAGGTATAAAAGAAAGGGGGGGATTTATGCTAAGCGATGATCATAATCATTTCGCGTCGGTAGCACGGATCGTCGCGCGCCACCAATAATCCCGTCTGCTTGATTCGTTTTGCTCGTAGACACTCGTTAGATTAAAGGTCGCTTGGCGCCGTGTTCCAGGGATATCGTTTGTTTCATCGCTGTCCAATGACGGTCTGTTATTTGTAAATCGTCCCCGCGAACCGTCAAAGTAGAAAGCTTACGTTGCACCGTCCATTTTGTCAACATTTTCTATTTAATTTTTCATGCGTTGATTTTTCAACGCAGGATGGGAAATATTCGACGGAGAGCGATCAGTTGTAACAGAGCGTAGTGGAAAATTAATATTCGATACACGTAGTAGATTGTTGCGGGGTTAATTTGAAAGATAAATGAAAATTAATCGAGGAGAATCTTATCGGGCGGCACATCGATTCTGATTCGCTTCCAATTCGACGATGAAAGTTGAACTTTTTTATTAATTTTCAGTCGTACCGGTAGAAATTAAATGAAATATCGGTGACAGTGGGAAAAGTTACGAGTTTATTTGAAGTTACACGATACTTGTGTTTAATATGCGCCAGCTTTCCAAAACGTTCAATTAATACTTCAACGAACTCGCCACTTTTCACATTTCCAGCGATTTTTTGGTTAAAATTATCGCGTCGCAAATGCGTTGAACCGTGAATATTTCTCTCTCTCTCTCTCTCTCTCTCTCATTTAAACGAACATCGAATGTATTTCTAGCTATTTAGAGATGATTGTTTCAACTTGATTCTCTTCGATGCCAGATTCACCGCATTTCCACCAATTTATTTTGAATGAAACGTCGGCTCAAGTGTTAGACGGTAAATGACAGAAATTCGAATGCAAAGTAACAACGACACGGTGTAAAAGTTCATGTTAATTGGTAGAAGAGTGCTCGTTGCTGTTAGCTACTTTCTACTTTCACCTGTTCGTTTCAACTCTATCTCCAAGTTATTCTCGGTTAATATTTACCGATGCTCTGTTCAACGCGAAACATTCCAGGTAAATAGCGCAAAGTGGCTGGTGATTTGTTGATTCGCGCGTGTCCGCGGTTTGATGAATGACCCGAAGCTGTTTGTTCCCTGTTTATGTTAAACTCGAGAGGATTCGTGCCGCCATTACCGATATAATTCGCCCGTAATAATTGAAATCCGAATTGGAATTCAAGTATGACACTCGAAAATGTCATTTGACCCTATTGCGTCGTGGACCTTGATCGAGTCTTGTGATCAGGAGTTCTGGCGCAGGTTGATGATTGTTCTCGCTGGTTCGAGGTGTATTAAAACTTCGTTGTTGGGTTAGATGATTTTTATTTTGATTAGATGTGTTTTAGATGTCTAGTTGAATTTGGATTGTTCGTTTCGTGACGATGCGTCTCGTGCACTCGTCTGACAGTGATTGATGGTTTTCAGGTGCGTAGATGTATATACATATAGACATTAGGTTGGTTCTGATTGGTGGTTGTGTTATGGAGGTGGAAAACGTGGTGTGTTCTACAATACTATTGGCCGACGAAAACTGTGACCTTTTGGTAACGAATGTTTTATGGTCCCGAGTGTTTTTGGGACCTATTGTCCGAGTGTCGCGCTGGTGCGACCAAAAGAAGAAAAAAAAGAAAACCTCTCCTCAGCCCGACGTCGAACATTATTAGTAAAACAAATTTTTTGGATATTTCCAATAATTTATTCCATCAGCACATGCTCATTTGCGTTATACCTCAATATCCGTATCGGCGAAGCCAATTTCCCAACAAAATTCCGCACAAAAAACCCGCGGAAAATAAGAACAGTTCGATTACCAGTAGTATAACCCAGCCACTGATCAGACGCAGTCCTATCTACTTACCTTCGAATATTCGACCGCGTTCGAAGAACCGTTCTACCAGGAATTTCAAACAATTTCACGGAACGACGGAACAATGGATGACACTAGAACGACGCGATGAATCATTTTTGTCACTTTCGCGACGATATCGATCGATCATAAATTTCGAACGTTCACCTAGGTTGAACCGTGTGCAGCTCTAACGCGTAGGATTAACAGAGTTCAATCAGAACCTGCCGCTGTGTCTTCGTCCCCTCTCCGCCGACACACTAATTCTCCCTCTCACGCTAACGTAGCCGAAACGAGAGTAGAAGAAGAAGGGAGGAAACGAATCGGACACGGTCGAACACGCTGCGAACCTCCCCCGACCCTAAAAGTGACTCGTGTGATTTGTTGACCCGATGGACAGGCCAAACATCGGTGTCATGATGGATCACCGTGAAAAAGGGGAACCTTATCGTACGAGTGGATCAATCTCTCGAACGTACCAAGGATCTCGAACAGTCTCTCCAACCTACCTATCCGTTCTCCGCCGCATAAATTGAACAACAGCGAATTCCACGCGGTGCATTATTCATGGAAAAAAAAGGGTGGAAGTGGGGGATAGGATGCAGGTAACCGTAAACGCAATTAATTTTCGTTTCGTTCGAAAAACCGGCTGCATCGCGAACGATAATCAGCCCAGCGGAAATACACCGCGCTTCTGCCTCTTTTTTACCACCTCTCCCCACTTCTCTCGCACGCTTCTATGCTTGAAATATGTCGGACGTAATCGAATGCTCGTCACGGACCAGCGTTATCGACGACGCTTTTGCTCCCGCGAATTTCAGGATATATTTGTTTTTTTCACTTCGTGTCTTGCGATTTTAAATGGACTCTGCGTAGTGGTATAATTCGCTCGTTTTATTTCGGACTTTACAGCGGGTGATTTCGAAATTGCCTTAATCGAATGTTTGGCAACGGACGCACGGGGAATTTTATATTCGTTATTTTTTCTTCTCTTTTTTTTTAGGTAAATTCGCAATGTCG